GTGGAAAGTCTAGCTTTCCGAGGCGCGGCAAAGCAGGGAAAAGTAGACCAAATGCGCAAGGTTCTGAAAAGCTTGCTGCGGGGAATCCGGGCACCGGCGGACACCGGGGTTCACGGCCGACTGCGGAACGGGGGTTCAGCGTATACTGCGGAGGGGCCACAAGGAGCGGGGAGCACCGAGGGGAGGAAGCGGTGTTCACAGCGGACCAGAGGCGGAAGCGGCGGTGGGAGACCTGCTTATGAGCGGCCGGAGGAGTACCTGGACCGACAGGCGTCGGAGGGGTGACATGCGGAGTCCGAGGGGGTGGCAGCGGATGACATCGTGGGAAGCAGGGAGGAATTGGAGTGTGGGATACTGGGGAGGAGGGGTGTAAGGACTCCGTTGAGTCCTTCACTGTCCGTCTGGAAAGGCACTAGACAAGGGCTCAATAGCTCCTGAAGAAAGGATTCTAGTACCAAAGTGGGTTTTATTTCAGTCTAGACCAGAGAGAAGAATCTCTCATTAGTATATACAAGTAAGGGAAAATGAGAAAAGATAATAAGAAGAGAAGGAAGGAAGAAAGGGTACTTACCTAGACCAGAGAGAAGGATCTCTGCTGTCTAGGTGAAGGGGAAAGGTGAGACTAAATACAAGGTGAAAACAGGCTTATGTAATCTTGTGACAGGTTTGTGTAAGCCTGTGAGGAGCAGGGCTTACAGTCTCCCCTCCTATAAAAGAAAATAAAGAAAGGGAAAATTAACAGCAGCAAGGACAGAGAAAAAATAGGAAAGTAAGCGGGAGATTTGTAGAAGAGTTCAGGGGTGGTGGCTGATTTGGGAAGGAAAACTCAGGGAGATTGGGGAAAAATGGAGTTAATATAGAAAGGAGACTACTGGGAGGTGAGGAAGGTTGGAGGATAGGTGTAGGGGACAGAGGGTGAAGGTATCAAACATAAAATAAAATTGGGTTGTCGGGAGCTGAAGTAGGGTTGTTGGGAGTTGAAGTCGGGCTGTCATTGCATTCATCTAATCCAATAAACTCTGAATCTTCAATTGGGCGGTAGCGGGGGTCGCCCTTTCTTTCCAGAGCAGCCAAGGCTTCTTCCCTAATAATAGACAAGGCCCCTATGGCAGCGGTTGGTTCATTAACAGGCGGTGATGGTAATAATTTGGTGGAAGTATTGGGGGTGTCAACAAGTTGGGGAGATGAAGTGGTGGAGAAGTCAGATCCAGAATTAATGGTTGTCTTCTTCTTTTTATTCTTCTTCTTTTTCTTGATCGTCATTTACACCAGAGAGTTTGAGGTAATCATCAAGG